GAATCTATCATGAACATGGACAATAGACGTTATAATGTTAATGCTAGGTCGTTGCCCGTAAGTAACGCGCTGCATGGCTCGAGTACAGTGATAAGTGAGTTAGAGCCGCTGCATCGGCGCCCGGATGTAGTGTTAAATGAGCAAGGGCTACCGCGTCATTTTGGACGCACGCGGCTAAAGAAGTTAGTCCATAAGAGCAAAATTAGATTTGGTACTTGGAATGTTGGGACATTAAATTGTAAATCTGTAGAGGTTGTAGGGGTTATGATTCAAAGGAAAATCAATATCCTTTGCTTGCAAGAAACAAAATGGCGTGGAGAAGAAGCTAAGGATATTCAAGGTTTCAAACTTTGGTATACAGGAAAAGTAAGTGCACGCAATGGAGTAGGCATCATTATAGATAAGGAGTGGAAGAAGAACGTTGTAGAAGTTAGCAGAATTGGAGATAGAATTATTTCTTTAAAAATGATAATTGGACGTGAGACTGTTAATATTGTTAGCGCTTATGCGCCGCAAGTCGGGATAGAAGCCAGTCTTAAGGAATTATTTTGGGAGGATCTGGAGGGGTTGATTCGACACATACCACAGAGTGAAAAGATTTTTATTGGAGGAGACTTTAATGGGCATGTCGGGAGGGAAGCTGGTCAGTATGCGAGGGTGCATGGTGGTTTTGGTTTTGGAGAGCTAAACAATGAAGGGCAAACTCTTCTTGATTTCTCATTGGCGTATGATTTTAAGATTGCCAACACTTGTTTCAAGAAGAGAGATGAGCATCTCATCACCTACAAAAGTGGAGCCTCAAGGTCGCAGATTGATTTTCTTTTGGTTAGGAACACAGATAGAAAACTTTGTAAAAATTGTAAGGTGATCCCTGGAGATGCTGTAACGACACAACATAGGGTCCTAGTCCTTGATGTGTGTATTATGAGTAAAATCCAAAAACGTCGACAAGTAGTAACACCAAGGATTAGGTGGTGGCAATTAAAAGGTGAGAAGCAAGATATTTTCAAGCGAAATCTTTTGGATAAAGGAATTTGGGATTCTCAGGGAAGTGCTAACATCATATGGGAGGATATGGCTAAAAAGATACGGGAGGTTGCAAAAGTAGTTTTGGGAGAATCGAAAGGTCCTGGTCCGAGAGATAAGGAGTCTTGGTGGTGGAATAATAGTGTACAGGACAAAATCAAGTATAAGAAGAACTGTTTTAAAGCCATACATTTGTGTAACAATGAGGAAAATTGGGAGAGGTACCGTATGGCTAAGAAGGAAACTAAGAGAGCTGTGGGTGAAGCTCGTTCTAAAGCTTTTGAAGAATTTTATAAGAACCTTGAGACGAAGGAAGGAGAGCAAAATATTTATAAGATTGCCAAGAGTAGGGAAAGAAAATCAAGAGATCTAGAACAGGTAAGGTGTATTAAGGATGAAGAGGGAAGAATTTTAGTTACAGATGATGAAATTAAAAATAGATGGGAGACTTATTTTTCTAAACTTTTCAATGATGGAGAGGATTCATCTAGTAACTTGGAGGATTTAGTAACTGGTGAAGGAGAACAAAATTTGTCATTCTATCGAAAAATACGTGATAAGGAGGTAAAGGAAGCTCTTAAGAAAATGGCAAATGGTAGAGCTAACGGACCTGATTGTATATCTATCGAAGCGTGGAAATGTTTAGGTGAAGAAGGGGTGAGATGGTTAACTAAGTTATTTAATGTGATTTTACGGTCCAAGAAAATGCCTGATGAGTGGAGGAGAAGTACATTAATTCCTATTTATAAAAATAAAGGAGATATTCAGAATTGTACTAACTATAGAGGGATTAAACTCATGAGCCACACAATGAAATTGTGGGAGAAAGTAATTGAGCACAGGTTGAGATTGGAGACAAGTATTTCTGAGAATCAATTTGGTTTTATGCCAGGTAGATCAACTACAGAGGCGATTTATCTACTAAGGGGATTAATGGAAAAGTATCGTTGTAAAAATAAAGATCTACACATGATTTTTATTGATTTGGAAAAAGCTTATGACCGTATACCAAGAGAAGTGCTTTGGAAAGCGTTGGAAAAAAAGGGAGTACGGATTGCTTATATTAAAGCCATACAAGATATGTATGAGGGGGTAAAAACTAGTATAAGAACGCCTAGTGGTCAAACAAAGGATTTTCCTATAAAGATTGGGCTACATCAGGGATCATCTCTGAGTCCTTATTTGTTCAACTTGATTTTAAATGTTTTGACGGAACATATTCAAGAGGAAATCCCGAAATGTATGCTCTTCGCGGATGATATAGTTCTTATAGCAGAGACAAGAGAAGAGGTTAATTGCAAACTTGAGTTATGGAGGAGGACATTGGAGTCGAAAGGTTTTCGTCTGAGTAGAAGTAAGACGGAATATTTATATTGTAAATTTGATAAAGGACTATTCGAAAATAATTTGGAAGTGAAATTGGGAGATCAAATTATACCTCAAGTGGAAAAGTTTAGATATTTGGGAGCCATTATCCAAAATGATGGCGAAATCAGTGGAGATATTTCACATAGAATTCAAGCTGGGTGGTTTAATTGGAGAAAAGCTAAAGGAGTTATTTGTGACCGTAAGGTGCCTAATAAACTTAAAGGAAAGTTTTATCGTACTGCTATCAGACCGGCAATGTTATATAGTAGTGAATGTTGGGCTCTAACGGGACAGCAAGAGCATAAAGTTGGAGTAGCAGAGATGAGAATGTTACGATGGATGTGCGGACATACACGTAAAGATAAAATTCGAAATGAGCACATACGTGAAAAAGTGAGGGTGGCACCTATTGAGGAAAAAATGGTAGAAAATCGGTTGAGATGGTTTGGGCATGTACAAAGAAGACCAAGGGAGGCACCAGTGAGAAGAGTGGAACATATAACTTTGAGTCCGATTAAGAGAGGTAGAGGAAGGCCTAAGAGAACACTCTTGGAAGTTGTTGAACGTGATCTCTTAATTAATAATATTTCTAAAAGCTTAATAAATGATAGAGCACAATGGCGTCTTGCAATCCATGTAGCCGACCCCACCTAGTGGGATAAAGGCTTGTTGTTGTTGTTGTTGTATAGTTGGGTTACAGCCACCCAACACATTTTTATATCAATAATTTCGATATAAAATATTTTATAATTGGCTTCAACTCACACACTATAACATTTCAGATAAATTTTTACCTCCCACATGCCATTAGGCTAAATCACATTTGTCCATCCTTATACTCCCAACAAGTAAACTAAATCACATTTGTCCATCCTTATACTCCCAACAAGTAAAATAAGCAATTTAGTCAATTTTCAACACAAGCCAGTTATTTGGCCTTATAATCATGCCATTTTAACCAATCCAAAATAAATCAAATATTAAAATTACAGTCATCCAAATTGTACCAAAAATAGAAATAGTTTGAAAGGCATGATTACATTTATATATTCATATAATTGACAATAAACAAAAAGCCCTAATATTGGCAATATAATACATTATAAATCATAAATTAAATACCCAATTAACATGAAGTAACACTAATCATAAATTAAAAGCATGGTTACCTTGTGGCTTTTTCAATAAATTATTCCTTAAAATTTCTCTCTCACCACAATCTTCACCAGTAATACAATCTACAAATAACATATTATTTATAAATATTAGTTTCAATTTTTGAAACTAATAAAATAATTCTAATAATAGAATTAAAAATATAACATAATTCCTAATCTCAATCTTAATACAAATCTATAGTTAATACTATTAAGTATAATTTTTAACTCCTCTTTTAATTATCAATAAACATTAATAATCTAAAAATCAACTTCTAAACTAATTTCTATTATCAAAATTTTCTTTTTATTTCATAAATTCGTACCTAAAATACTCAAAAATTAAAAATTAAGTCTCTAGCTTAGAATCATAATCCTATAGCCATAATAATTCATTTCTCATCCCAAATAATCATCTAAACCTCAATAAATCAACATATATTTTCAGATCTAGTCTAGAATTTGATCCATAAGCCACAAATTCAAAGATCACCAATAAATTTATACTCTAGAATATTTATTATACTACTAACAACCTCAAAAACCATATTTATTCAACATAAATTCATCCCTCTTCCAGATCTTAAATTTTCTACCACTACAAACTCAGAAACAAAAGAAAAAGGATGACTAAGAAAGAAAAAATTTTAGAACACTTACTTAGTCTTGAAAAGCTTAAAATCACATCCTAAATATCCTATTAAAAACTCTTACCTTAAAACCCTGCACCGGTGAATTTGGCTCACAGATGCTCTCTCTGCCGAAGCTCACGCACGAAAAAAGGAATGAAGAAATGAAGAAACAGGTGAGTTTTTATAAAAATTCAGTGGGTCCCACATTTTTTTTAATTATTTTCTCTCTCTTCTTCTTCTTCTTCTTCTTCTTCTTTTTATTATTATTTTATTACTGTTACTGTTGAGGCGGCGGACGAAGCAAATTCGTTTTCTTCTTCTTCTTCCTTTCTTTCTTGTTTTTACGCCTCTTTTTTTTATTATAATAATAATTTAATAATATTATTTTATTATTATTTTTTTATTTTTTTTTTAAATTATTTTTTTTTAATTTTCTATTAACCCAAATTAACTATTAAAATTTATATTGGGATGTTACACAATGGGTTCCTATTAATGTTACTAAACAAGGACCCTCAATCTCACACTTGATGTTAGGATTCTTGAATAATTCTTATGCAATTATAATTATCACAAATTACACATAAATCTAGCTAGAGTAGTTCAGCTCATTACATCTTTCTTATGTATTTGTACATGTCATCCTTCATTGCATCTTTCTAAATCTGTTACTGGGAGAGAAAAAACATATTTATAGTCATCATCTAATAAATGTAACCAATTAACTGCCTCTCTTTATATAAAGTTCATATATAGATATATATATATATATATATATTCAAATTAAAGGAAGTCGTATTAGCCTAGAACAACTAGGCCACAATTATTTTAAAAATGAAGTACAATGATCGCCACCATCGTCTCTATAGTCGCCATGCGCATGCATGATGATATATATCCTTTGATGAAATAGATTAAATCATACATGATGAAATTAAGTAGATACGAGATGATATATGATTCTCACAATATCTCTTTTTCCAATTAACCATACCTTAGTTTTCAGTCAAAGACAGAAGCTAGAGTGCAATGATGGGGGCAGGAGGGACCCACTGTTGAAGAGGAAAACATTCCCAAGAACCTTCTTCAGTACGAGAAAGAGTGAAATGCTTAGGTGTCCATGTTTGTCCTCTTGATTCTCTCTCTTTGAGGAGCTCTCTTTGTGTTTCTTCAACACGTTTCTTGGCTTCACTTGCTTTGTCCCACTCTCCTCTCATTAGGGCTTCACTAACTTCACTCCACACAGCCGCTGATTCGGTCGGCCACACACTCTGATGAATGATAATATATCCACACAATAAACAGCATCATCGTACTCATCACACACTCACCAAAAGTGCACGCATAATGTAATTAATTTCCCAGCTATGTCTTAATTATCCATTTGATTACATTTCTAATAAATCTAATAATGAAACATTTGTATGATATTTTCCTTTTTGTTTTTGAATAACCCAAGCGAGAAAAATAATATAGAAGTTAGGATATATTGTACTCCCAGTCCCTTTTGTAAGTCATTCCTACAATCCTCACTAATACGGGTGCAAAAAAAAAAATAGTAATAAAAGTGTGTAAAATTCTAAATATGCTTTTATATAAAAAATTTAAAAAGTAATGTTATGTTATTTTTTCTTTTTCATAAAAGGTAATTTTAAAAATATTATCTAAAAAGCCATATCATAATTTATAAATAGGACTAAATATACTTTTTAGAATGTATCCTATAAATGAGACCATGTATTGTGATGCATGTGCAATAGATGCGTATGTATTTACTTTTTTGAAAAAATTAATGTGCAAATCTTTCTAGTTTCTCTCAATTTAACTTTAAATTAGATCCCAATAGTTTATTTTACTTTAATTGAGCATTATTATTTGATATGTTAGATTTGTCAATTCTTATAAGTTAATTCAAAATTGAGAAAAACTATAAAGATATGCAAATTATATGTGATGTTATAAGTTATAAATATTATATGTATGATAGTCCCACATCAAATAATTAGAGAATTAATCACAACTATAGCACTTAGTGAGTCCTTCCAAAGTAGTTTAAATTATTTTGGTATAAGCAAGTGACAAGTCTTAGTTCATTAATTTTTAGGAGTAAAGGGCAAATTTGCTCTTAAATTATAGATCAAGTAGTGTCTATAATTTTAAATTTATTTTTTTATATAATATTTTCTTTTAAAATTTCAAAATGGTGTAATATTACTTATACTATGAATAAATATTAACTTCGAATGTTAATTGACAAAAAAATCACAAAATTTATTTTTTTTTGTACTTTTTTTCATGGCACTTTTATATAATTTTTTAGGTTTTTTTTATATTTTTGTATCAACTAACAGTCAAAAAAGAATATTGTATAAAAAATGAGTTTAAAAAGTTTCATACGTCATTGAATCTATAGTTTAAAAGTAAATTAATTTTTCATTTAACCCTTATTTTAAATGTAATATTCTAATAAAGACATAGCAAAACTTAGATAGAGAAAAAATTATTACCTTCAAATTCTTGACAATAGGGGCTTGGAGGCCTGAAATGACTTCATTTGCATTATGGATTACTTGAACTCTCCCATTATTTTTATCCTTAATTGCTATAGTTCTGCATTATATGAAATTTCATTAGATAATATGTATATATTTAGCTTTATATGAACAATTTTTTTTTTCAAAAGATTGACTTGTATGAAATAAAAATCATGACCTATCCCAATGGCCATCAAGATCATACAAAACTTTGGAAGACGAAGAGTCAAGAATCTTCCCTTTCACGGATCTGTGATTTGCCTTGAAACCTAAGAAAGACCGACTCTTGTAACATAAATCAGCCACAAATCCTGTCTCTTTGCATCGTACACTAACATTGCCAACCCAATCAATTCTAAGGAACGGAAGGAATCTAAGAGAGACATTTGGAAAATTCATCTCATAAGTTTCTCCATGCTTCATCAGTTTTAACGTCCTTTTGCCCACCACTTTAACTTCCACTGAAGTCCCTGCATGATCATCATCATCATGATTTTGTTTCCATAAATTTATAACTCTTATTAAATTTTATCTGCATTCGGCTTACTTACTATGGTTAGTCTTAATTATTGAGAGTAAAATATTTGAAAAGAAAAATTCCCATTCCCAAAATTCATCAAGCATGAAATTCTTCTTAATGAGCGTCAAATTTCATACCACAACCATATTTCTTACAAAATTTGGCATTAGACACTTGGTTAATGCAAGAGTTATATATATAAACATAGAAAAATAATGGTAAAAATTATGAATCAGTCCATATAAAACAAGTACAAATTTGTGAAAATACACCCTAATCTCATGAGACTTAGTTGTGATTAACTTACCATGTAACATAATACAAATGCTCTGGATTCTTATCCCTTTGATTGATGTTGATTGACCATTGTAGTTGTTGACTTGTGATCGTTGACCAGTCACTAGCTAGCTTTGACCAATGATTAGTCAAAAAAAAATTTAAACATATTTTATTGAATTATTCATATTTTAATATTTATAAGTCAAACATAACATATTTACAAAATAAATTCTTCAAGATTGACAGTTCAAACTTCTTACATTTACAAGTCAATTTCTTACAATATTAATAGGTTGATATTTACAAGTTAACTTCTCAAATTTACAAGTTAAACATCTTAATTTACAAATCTAACTTGTGTATTTGTTAATATGTTACGTTAACTTGTAAACATTAAAGTATTAAGATTTTAGTAAAAAAGTTTTCATATAGTCAATGCTAGCTAGTGATTGGTCAATGATTGTGTGGTGGTCGATCAACATGAATAAAAGGGATGAGAGTTTGAGGACATTTGTGTCATTTTACATGATAATTTAATTATAATTAAGTCCCATGAGACTTGAGCAGATTTTTCACAAATTCATGAAACTTATGTATAAATATTTTTTTATATGAGACTTGTTTGTAATTTTTCCAAAATAATGTTATGAAAAATAAAAGAAGAGATACCATGAAACTTTGGAATGGCTTGGTGGCACCATATAATTTCTATGTTTTCCTTCTCGTCAGTTGCATGGAGGGCTGATACTGGAGGGTGGTGTGATACCTAAAATGAAGGCAAGAAATCATTGGTATAAAACGAAGCTAAATTAAATAAATCAATAATTTTTTTTATCCAAGGAAACCTGCAGACAAACAAAGCAAGTAAATTAATAAATATCCCCTCTCATAAGTGATACTCATTCGAGGAATCGTGGTAGAGGCAAGTTGGGTTTGGGCCAATGCCCACTAGATTTTACTTCTTGGACTTTTCCACAAAAAATATTCATTCTGTGCTATGTTCATCACTAGCAACAATTTTATGTGTTTTTTTTTTTTTCCCTGTCAGAAGAAGATAGTTATGCTCACATAAATATTAGATCCTGTTTGTTTTCTATTCTTAAAAACAATTTTTTTATTTTAATATTTTCAAAACAATAAAAGTTGTTTGATTAATGATTTTTTAAGTTTTGAAAACAATTTTTAATTTTTTGTTTTTAAATACAAGAAAACTAAAATGACTTTTAGCTATTTCTATTCTTATTTTTTTATTTTTACCGAGTAAAAGAGGGAAACAAAAAATGTTATTTCTGTTCCCACACTGCTAGGAGGACGGTTTTGGTGATCACTGATTTAAACATTTGTGTCTTCATCAACCTCATGCTACTCTGCTATTTGATTTCTTTCGATTCAATCTCCCCGTGATTAGGTTTATGTTAAGGCTTTCTTCTATTTATACAAAATGATTTGTTTATAATTTTTAATTGATTCTACCCTATTCTACTTAACTATATCTCTATCTCATTTATTGTAATAATTGTATATTCTTTTAGTATTTATTAGAATATCTCATTTCATTATAATATAAATTTCTCATTTCTCTTTTTCTGAAAAATGTTTCTGCTTTTGTTAATGTTTTATTACACACACAGATATATATATATATATATATATATAAAACAAACATAACTTTATATTCTTAACATATTTTTATCTAATTAAATTAAAATAAATAGATTTTTATGTGCTAATAATATTAAATAATTACATGTCTACCTTGGTTTAATTAGAAAATTAAACAAATAATTTACGTATATAAATTTTTATGTTCTTATAAATATTACTCAATTTGTAAATTGTAGGGAAATTTTGAAAAAAAATATACTTTATTGGCAGCAACATATAAACTAATTCTGCCAAGCAAAATAACATCCAAAACAATTTTAATCAAATGAGTTTTATTATATTTTAGTTTTTAAAATTTATTTTTAATATTAATTTTGCCAAGCAAGTTTTTTTTATTTTTTAATTCTAAAACTGTTTTTGAATTACTGTTACCAAACAATTTTTTTTATTTCTTCTCAAAAACAGTTTTTAAAATTGTTTTATAAAATAATTTTTGAAAACAAATAATGAAAACAATAACCAAACAAGCCCTACGATTCTAGATTTGAAACCATGTAAATTCAAAAGATATTTTTAAAATAATAATTATCTTTAATTAAGTTCAACAATATTCAAATTAGATTTGACCAGTTAATCATATAAAAATTTATTAAAATTGTGGTTGAATAAAGGGAAGGAGCAGTGGCAGTGATAGGATCCTGAGCTCTGAGGTGCAATGTTTTAAAAATTAATAATTTAAAAATAATTAAATATTTATGAATTCAAAATCTTTAAAGTTAAGTTAAGGGACGTAAAATATTTAGGTTAAGGAGTACAAAATATTAAAATATATAAGGTTTTTTTTTTATAATTTTCTCCAAGGGGTGTATATGCGCCTTAGGTTTTAATGTAGCACTGCCCATAGAAAGGAGCTGGTTCATCTTAAACAGAACCAAAAATTCAAACTTTGTATATGAAAAATATTTTAAAAAAACTATCTTTAATTAGGCATAACAATAAGGGTTTGTTTATCTATCTACGAAATAAATTTACATAAATAAAAATTATATAAATATTTAATATACTTTTAAAATCCATTGTCATCCTCAAAAACCATTCACGTTCCTTTCTCTTTCTTAATGTCGTCTTTGGCTGAAAATCCTCTTTGAAGTTCCACCATAAGGTCGGGAGAGTATTTAAAATCTTTTTAAGTAACGTACATGGATTAGTCAAAATAAAAAAAAATAAAATTAGATTGACGACATCCGTACATGAGATATTTAGAAGCAGCTACGGGCACCAATTGATCATGCTGACGTGGCGTCAGAATAACCATCAAAACGCACAGTTTTAGTGGCAGGTTCAGCCAAGCTTACCTCGTTTGGTTTTCAAATATAAATAAATGTTAACTACCTATTTAAATTTAAGAAAATTGATTAATTTTAATAATCATGTCTAAAATTAAAAAACATAGATTAAAACGTCTTTATGATTAATCCTTCGTTTTTTTAATTTAACGACATTATCATTCAATGAAAGGCAATTGATAAAAAAATGTTACAAGTACTTTTTAAAATTATTATTTTGCTTATAAAAAACAATAAATTATATTAAATTTCACTTATCTTTAAAATGAAGGGAGCACATGTTGATAATTATTCTATTCTTGACCATAGTCAAAAGACCGAGAAAGATACTCACTCCTTTTACTCTTTTTATTCTTTTTTTAATAAACAAAAATTCAGGTTAGTGGGATCATAAGAACTCATCAGGATATGCTTTCAAATTCAAAAAACGCTTATAAAGATACTTAAAAATGGTTTGTCAACAATATCAGTAGCAAGATTTGATTGTATGACCTTGTAGATTATAAATAAATCTTTTACCAATTAAACTAATTTTTGTTGATTTTACTTTTACTTAATATTTATAAGCCTTTTCCTAAGCCATAATGGATACCTAGTTAGAGTAATTAATTTTCTTTTCTAATTTTATCCTTATTTATTTAGCATATGATGATTTGAATTTCTAGATAATAATTTAATTACTATAGTCATTAATTGCAATGAAAGATAAAATTAGAGAGTTATATTATTTTTTTTTTATAATTTTAAGGTTTTGACTGACATTTTTATTAAGTTCACTTATTTAATAAGTATCTCAATTACAGTGCTATTAGATTTTATTAATATTTAAAAATTATTAATATACATCTCTATCCAAAAATTTAAAATATTTTTTATGATTAAAACATTCTTCGCATACGTTATGCCTTTCAAAAGTTTAAAATCAAACACTTATTATTGTGTTATGTTGAACACTCATTAGCCCCTCACTAGATCAAAAGTATAACCAAAAAGAAAAAGCATTGGAAAAATCATTCCAGAAGTCCCCCACAACAATTATATTGATCTTGAAGTATCATAAATTGCACATCTTTTTATTAAGTCTCTTGAGATTTAAATATAATTAAATTTTTTTAAAAAATGATAAAAACACTTGTGTGAAGTCTCTGGAATGTTTCAACATTTCTCATTCTTCAACCCTCTCCCTCCCTCTAAAACTGAAATACAGTAGCATCTCTTCTAGCCTCTCTATAATCCAATCGCATTTATCTCACACAAATCCCTAGAAGCTTCCTTACCCTAAGACCTATCATCAACATTGCACTCTCCAAAACCAACTTTCCTTTCTTTGAAACTAAAATTCCTCAACAATACCACCAGCTGCTAACCAACAACAGCCTTGAAGCTAAGATGCTGACAATTGTCACCACTAGCTATGGCTTTACCGTCGCTAACATCGCCAAAGCCAACAATACCTCCAACATCGAGAAGATCAAGGAAGCCTTCTTTGACTCAAGTGTTCTATTTTTGACCGTTAGGTGTGCATTACAGCAACCGGCATGAGATGGTGGTCAAGGATGCCTAGAACCTTATATTGGCTTTTTTGTCATTTCACACTAAAATTTAACTATAGTTAAGTTCCCAAAGACCTTATAAGCATTTGTACAATTAGTGGGACTCCAGGACAATTGTTGTGGGGGGGACTTTAGAATAATTTTTTCAAAAATATTTTAAGAACGTGGTACGTACCTGCTCGGCTAAAAGATGAAGAGAGGAGCGAGACACATGGTGAGTTTCACCGAGAATGGGATTGTAAGGAGTATCTCCAATCACAAGAGGACGCGTGGTAGAAATGGCCCAAGCGACCACATTTATAAACCTTGCCAATGGGCTCTCTCCACCGTTGCATTTCCCCAGCAAGTCCGTTGCCGTAGAGTATATCTCTTCCCCATAACACTGCAGGCACGACTTTGGGAAGTTGAACGCTGCTGGTAGCTGTAATCAATCGTACATAAATGAAAACGGCTTTTGTGTGTGTGTGTGTGTGTGTGTGTGTCTGTGTGTCTGTGTGTGTGTAACATGCGATGTAACCCTGTTGACCACTCAATTTCAGTGCTTATCATAATACTCATCACTTCTGGACTGTATTTTTAGATTTTTATTTTATATTTATTATTAAAAATTATAAAATTTTAATAAATTTACCTTATTATTAATGTGAATAATATAAATTAAATTTGAATAGTCTAATTTCATATTAAATTTTTTATAATTTTTATAAATTAATTATTCAGATATATTATGTTCAGTTTGGATTTAATATTAATTTTTTAATAATTTTTTAGATTGATAATAGGGTATATTTATTAAAAATTATAATTTTTATTTTAAGAAAAATAAAAAATATACAAATAAAACAAGTACGTTTATCTTGAGCAGAGGTATGCAAGTGGAAAAGATTGATATAAAAACCATGCCAACATTGTTAACCTCGCACTTCTATTAGTTCACATTTTTGTTGCAGGTCATATATAAATGTTTTGCATTTTTGAGGAAAAGATGTATATAAGGAGAAAAGACTTGTTGTGTAGAAGACATGCCTGGAAATGAGAGAGGTCGGATCCAGGGCGGACATGAGAGAAAAGAGACAAGATGCGGTGGAGAAGATTGGGAGCTGAATAATCATTATTAGCTTCTGCTTCCAGTGAAAAAGGCTTCGTCAGTATCACTTTTCTCACCTTATTATCCCCTTCTGTCTCCTGCATCGTTTATTAGCGGATTCCTTAAAACAAATCATATCTGAAATTTATCAACAAAACTTAAAGAAGCCATTATTCAAACAAGCTACCAAAAAAAAAAATCAAGAGAGAGAGAGTGAGAGAGAGAGAGAGAGAGAGAGATTACCATTAGAAAGTTGAGGTGAAGCCGAAGAAGACGAAGGATTAATGAAGGGCAGTTTGAGAAAGCAACTAGTCAAGGAAGGACGCGGATGCCTATTTCAGACACATTTATCTGATGGCAAAAGATAGGAAACAAGGAAAGAGTTTTGGTCTCTCCCGAATTCATGACAACAGTGACGACGTACTCAGGCTCAGCCTGTTCACAGCTTGCCATTAATGAGGGCTGATGGCTCTCGTAAATATACGAAATTACAGTAATAAATTATTTAAAATATTTTAAATATTAAATTTATAAAAACGTGTTATTTTTACTAATTTAAATAATTAATAATTTAAAAAAATTAATAAAATGAATAATTTTGATAAAAATAAAAAAAATAAAAATAAATTGAGAAAATAATTATGATAAAAACACAATCACTTGAAATATTGGAGTGTAAGATTTATTTTATAGATTATTAGTTTCTATCCTTTGAATTGACTCTAATCACTTATAGTGATAATTATTCCTAAAGTATTTTAATATTCTTCTGAATTATTAATCTCTTTTTAATTAGCGTTGAATTTATTCTCACAATACTCAAGCAATTAGTTAAACGAAGCTATAGTTTAAGTCACTATAAATTTCTAGAACTATCCCTAACCTAGTTATTTATATCTATTTCTCTAAATCTAGATTCTCTCTTCACCTCCTAGTCCATCAAAATTACCTATAGATTTGATTAAATGGTAGCGAATCATTAAATTAATATGAAAAATAAAAAAATAAATATAATTCAAAAAAGCAAAAATATTTATAAATATAGATGTAAAGAGTCAAAACAAAAAAAATAAAAAATTAGTTCTCCAATTGAGCTACATCCCTACCCAACCAAATAATTTAAAAATATATAATAAAATCAAATAAAACCATTCTAAAATCCCTAATCATGAAAAATAATCATAAAGAAAATTAAGAAGTAAAAAAGAAATAATTATAATATGTAGAACTCCTTAATGATCTCGCTTTCAGCATTTAAAATGCTTCTACATGTTCCAAATATCTCAAAGAGAATTCTTGAAGTATTTAGATAAGTGATTGAATACTTTATCTCTTGATGGAGAGAAGTATTTATAGTTAAAATGAAGACTCTTTTTTTTATTCTTTATCGATGTGAGATTCTTATATATCTATATATATCAAGTACGTGTCTCTCTTTATTCCTTTCTTTAAATATCACGTGGATCCTGCCCTAAATATCTTCATATGCCAACAAGTGTGCGTACATAAGATTTCAATTACTTCTTTCCTTTATATATATATATATTTTTTTTTTTCTTCTATTTAGTTTATCTTTTTTCCTACAATATATGAAAAGATACAAGTAGATTTTATATTAAAATTCCTTTCAATCTTATAATTAAATGATGAAGGAGAAATATATAAATATTAATTAAATAGATATGAAATCTTAATAGATATAATCAAATCTAAATCAAAATCTATACCTATTTAATTATAAAATATATACTTATCAAGAACTTTTTTTTTCTTATTAAGATTGAACTTATGAGTCAGTAAAACTTATATAATCATTTAATGAAACTATTTTGAGAAATATTCCCCCCTTTTTTTTTAATGTAACAATAAGGGTTTGAGAAATATTCACTTAATAATAAACTTGTGAAAAATAAAGGCAAAAACACCCGTGTTTTCAAAAGGAAAAAATTAAGAAAAATAATAATAATTTTTTTAAATTATATAAATGATAATCTTGTCTTTCAAGATATCATAATTTTAATGAAGTCCTCAAGGATTTCTTTATCAATAAATTTTAAAGTGAAAAAATCATGTTACTTTTATTGAAAATTACAAGTCCCAATCAAAACTTTTTATTAGGAATTACAACTTTTATTCTGTGAATCATAAGAGTTAAATAAAAAATCATAACTTGTTAAGTGTAATATCTGTTATTAAAAAAATAAAAATCAATAATAACTTTTATTTTGTGATTCACAAGAATTGAATGAAAAATTATAATTTATCAAGTATAATTTCTATTATTGAAAAACAAGCTTTCAAAATAAAAAATTTCATTCACAACTTTTGTTTAAAGAATCACAACTTTATTCAAAGAATCACAAGAATTAAATAAAAAATTATAACTTATTACTAAGGGTAAAATAACTTTTTCAGTTTAAAATTCATTGATAAAGAAGCTTCTAAGCTTTCAGTGAAATTATGATATTTAGAAAAACTATATGGTTATTTATATAATTTAAAAGAATTTTATTATTATTTTTTTAAAAAATTATTTTTCAAGTAGTTAAACTTTTTTTTATTTTGGCCTGAAAAGTAGCTAAACGTCTGCCGATCCAATCCCATGAAGATACTATATATCAAAAGACATGGTCCCTACTGTACCTTCTATAAGGTGTATTTGAAAAATAAAAGTTGATTTCTGACAAAAAAAAAATATAAAAGTTTATTTAAATGATAGAGATGTATTGTGGTTGTCTGGTTAGAATATCGATCAAACAATGTTTTATTTTTCCACTTATAATTTTAATAGTTTTCTTGTAATTTGAGCAAGGAATATGAGATTTTCTTTACTAGTAAGGATATAATTGCAGTATTGGAATGATTTTTTTTCAAATAAAGTAATCTAAATTTTCAAAAGCTATTGGTTTGATTGTTGCTAATCCTCACAAATATCAACTCGTCTTGAGTGGTTTTAATTAATGATGGTATCAAGATGGAAAATTTCAGAATTATCTCTTTAAAGCATACGACAATGATCTTAATCCACGAGACTGCAATTTGTGGAACCAAATTGCGATAGCAAAATTTTTACAATCTATTGAGAAAAAAAGAAGATAATATAGGGATTAAATGGGTGAATAATGTGTATATAAAAAAGGAGAAACATGTGGTCTCTTACACAAGTGGCTGCGAGAACAAGTATTAGATTCTTGCAAGCACCGTATGGGGTAAATTTAACGGGCTAACTGCCAAGGTACTATTACTTTTCATTTTATTGCTGGTCACAAAAAATATACTATTTACAAAAGCCGTGTTAGTATCTTTTAAAGAAAACATGGTTATTGATTTTTATAATTTTATTATATTTTATTGTTGGTTTTTATAATTTTTTTAATGTTTTAGATTTTTTTAGCTTTTTTTTGTCTACAATATTAGCTCCTCTACTTTTAAAAATATTCAGATGGATAATGATGCGACACTAATAATAACATTAAATTATCTAGTAACTAATAATATTAATGAGGACACTAACATATTTAAAACACAAGAGTTGGCAGTCTAAATTTACAGTAGGTAAAAAAGGCAAATGATTGCCTTTTGACAAAGACTGATTTAGACTTCTAGCAACAGTGCCTGTCAGCATAAAAAAATCATTTTAGGTCATTGTGGGTAAGTATCTTACCTAATTCAATACTGATTGTACCACATTATCATCATATCTCATCATATATTTAAAAATATAAGAATTAATATAATGATAGGTGAAAAAAACTATAAAAATAAATAATTATTTTTTCTCTATCTGTTAATTATTAAGTTGATTCATATGTATGTAATGCTTATCTTTTTGCTAAAAAAAAAGCTAATTTTATTAATCACAAAAAAAAATTACAAATCAAAACAACATATTAACCAATGCCTCCTTTATTATGAGAGGAACCAGTAGAAGCAAAAGAAAAATTAATGAGATGTTTATAATTCACTTGTGATTGGTCCAAGGAGTTTGTTTAATGGTGTTGTGACTTGGATTAATGCTAAATTTATGAATAAAAGGGGCGAATAATGCGTATATCATTTCAGGGAATTATAAATTTGGTATATAGGTTTTAATGTTTTGCATTCATCTGCCCATTACTGATTTTTATGTTTTAATATTTTATATCCCTTGTTTTTTAGTTTTAAAATTCTGCACCTCCTCAACTAGACGTCTGGGCTTCGCCAATGGAGTCATTTCTACGTTTGTTTGAAGCAGAACAAAAAGGGGAAATTTATATATATATATATATATATATTAAAAACTCAAAAACAAGGGATGCAAAATATTAATATATATATATATATATATATATTAATTTGCATGTTGTTGTAGCAGTGGGCAGAAAAAACCTTTTTTTGGATAAAAAATAATTTGAATTTAAGGATAGTAAAATTTGTTCAAAAGGTTGAAATGTGTTAAGAGTCTAATCTTGGCTATCAAGAAAATTAAGTGTATGTTTGATTTTCAGTTTACCAAAAGTTCATTTACTGAAAGTTTATTTAATAAAAGTAAATTTAATAAAAGTTAATTGTTGTAATGAAATTTGTGTTTGGATACAATTTTTTAAAAATCAGTTTAGTAAATTTAAAATTGTTGGAATTATAATAGTAAAATTTACTTTTGAATGTACAATTACTAAAAAGAACATTAATTTATGATATTTTAAATTTTTATTATACAAATATAATATATTTATAATATTTAAAAAATATGATAAAGACTTTAAATAACATAAAATTTGATCTATAATGCTAAAAACTTGATCTCTAATTATTTATACTTTTTTAATTTATAATTTTAAAAAATGTGATAAAGATTTGTAATTTTTATTATAGATTAATGTTAAAAATTGACATGGTTAATTATTCAATTTATAATGTGAAAAACTTGATATCTAATTATTATTATTTAAATGATAATTATATTTTTAATAAATTAACCATTTTTTAAAAAAATAAGAGAATAAAATAGCATCCACATTTCAAACCCATATTTGAAATCCACCAAAAAATAGGGTTTCAAAATTCACATTTTAAACTTATTTCAACCCACTTTTTGAAAGTCATTTTGCTCTTTAAAAAATTACCCAAACAACTTTTAACAGTCCAAAAGTTTAAAAGCTCATCCCAAATGTTGAGTGAGAGAAAACCAAATGCACCCTAAGTCCAGTAAAAAAAATTTTTTTTGGGATAACAAAGATTGAGGATTAAGAAAGTTGAGGATTAAAAACACATTTTTGTTAGTTAATTGAAAAAATTGCTATTATTATAAATAGATTAATTTAATTTAATGTAAGTATTTTTTATTAGATAAATATTTTCTATGTCAGTTTGAAGAAGCT